GATCTTGAAATAAGCAGCATTAAGTGGAAGCTCTGATTTAACGTCTTGACAGAGTTAAACTTATATGAACTGCTAGCTTTTAATTTCCATGACTGTTTCCACTTGAAAGATTTCTTCTGAGGTACACATGCAGCCTTGCAGGTGGACACTTGAAGACCTTTGAATTTGCTGTTGTTATCTGGGCATTGTGAGATAGCACGTGCAGCATGTGATGGGACAGATATCAGAAGATAAGCTAAGTGTGTGCTGGGTGGTAATATTAAAATTTCCAAGAGTCTTCTCTTTCTACCCTATACTGATTTTTCTTGGCAATATTTTCAAGCTCTCTCTCCCCACCATCAGTTTCATACGCATACTAAGGTCTGTTTAACTTTCACAGATACAGTTTCTGGCCGCAGCTTTGGAGGCCTGGACCTCCCAAACCTGTCCTGATCCAAAAGTATCGCCACACCAAACAGGAATAAAAATCCACTTTTAACACCATGAAGAAAGTAACATGCCATGCAGGTGCAGCTTCTTTTTCTTTAAACACAAATGTTTCTCTTGGACTACATTTGTCGTGTACACAAACCTTCGTAAACGGGTATCATAGAAGGGGGAAATGGTTTTTAAGCCCAGAGAAGCTGAAGTAGCAATTGTTTTGCTGAGTTAAGCAATGTTTAGTAGGAAAGAACTCAGAGCTGAAGGCAAGTTAGATAGGAAGTGAGAGAAGTGTTAGTACGTGTCAGAAGTGTCATAACCGCAATATAGAAATTAAACATCATCTTATTCTGCGTTACAAAGTCTTCACATGGCTACAGCCATTGCCATTCAGTTTCCTCATATATGTACCTACTGTATTTCGCAATTATGTTCACCTGTCATCTAAATAACAGCCTCCTCCTTCCTCGATAAGCTACATACTTGAAAAGGCAGTAAGTACACTTTCAGCCATACACCTTCATTCAAGGCTTCTAAAGGACAATCTAAGCCTTACTTCACCCTTACCTTCAAATTATCAGGGATGGAATGCGTCAACTTTCCCACCCTCCTACTAATTTAGATAGTATTAGTCCATTCATAACACCTGGAACACCTACCCGGTCTGCACACTCAACTTCTAAAGTAGCATGAAGTATATGGGAGGAGTTGATCAGCTTGGATTGTTATTTGATAGTTGTTTTGCAGTAATGCCTACAGGCATTAATTAAGATCAAGGTGCTAAACACTAAGACGACTTGCAATGGAAAATAGTTCCTACCCCAGAGAATTCATAAGCAAGTTATAACAGGTGGATGAGATAAATTAAATGTACGGACAGAAAGAGAAATACAACAATCTACTTCTCCAGTTATTTTCTATATAAAGTGTGGATCATTTTCATGTATACATTATGTATATTGATATTCTCGTTTTACTGAAGATACTTATTTCTCCCTAAACTTAATTTTTTAGTGATCTCCTCAATATCATAAAACTGTTCTTCCAAAGAAATATATAATCTACGAGATATTCCTTCTCCACCCAGGGTGCCTGATATGCTATACTCTAAGCAGTTCTGTATTTGTTGCTTTTCAAGGGCATCAAAATCTGTTATGTATTGCTTGTTTTTCAACAAAGCAATAGACAAAGGCAATCTTTCTGTGTTTTATGATTAAAAATTAAAATACTTCCAATAAAATAGTAGCTGGCCCATATCCTCCTAGTGAAATTAATTTTCATGGTTATTATAAAGCTGTATTAATGCGTGAACGGAACTTCGTAACAATCAGACATAAAAGTTCGGAAGACTATAATATCTAATAGGCTTATTTTTTCATTAAAATTAAGGAATATCAGAATTTGGTAAGTGGAGACAAAGGTCAGTTTGATTTATTTCAGCTTGTCAAGTTTTCTGAATAAATTTGTTATCTGTAGTAACATTCCTTAACAAGGTAATTCTATCTGGTTTCCACTAATTTTAAATTACTGAAGACTTTCTCTGAAATAATTAAGGCCCAATCCTACTGTTACTACAAATGCTTCTCTGTTGCGCTGAATGCTTCGCTTTTCTTTAAGCTAATGTAAAGGAGTGCCAAATCAGAAACCCTACTAACCAGCCTCAGAGGCAGTAATTTATCCCATTTTTTCATAGATGTAAAATCATCCTCCTATGCAAACAGGTCACTTCCTCCAAAGAGGATCATCTGCAAGATGAGGATATAAATAAGCAACAAAGATAAAAGCAGTGAAACAGTAATCTCAGATCTAGGTAAATGAGAATTTTGCTCTTTTTAGTACGACCATAACAGGTGTCTTAACACTTTAAAAACATGAAATCTTACCTACAGCATACTATGGAATTTCTGTTGCTAAACAATACTCTTTCACTATTACATTACTTCTATATTATACATTATAATTCTTTGTGATTTAGAATATAAAGCACAATGCTTTCAAAGAAGAAAATAAGAAACAGAATTGATAAGTTTCTTAAATTTCTTTTCAGCAGTCAGATCAAGAAGTTTAAAAGTGCTCTAGAAACAAAAATACAACAGTAATATTGAAAGTGGCACTGTTCCACTTCTACTGGAACCCCACAGGTCAAAGACTTAGCTGTGAGGAGAACCTACGGGTTCTCTTCTTTGTGCTAATTATTGAACAGAAGATTTCAGTAATTACTATCTAGCTTTAGATAGTAGTTAAGCATATGCTTTTATCAATGACTTCTTGAATGTGTTTCTAATTAAGGGTCATATACTGAAGACTTTACTGGTATGCCCTGCTCTTAAGTCAGTGGATCTGATCCTTCCTTCTCCAGGTTACAGAAGCTTTACACTGAGCCTGTGTGCATTCCACATAGGCAAAAAAAGCCATCCACACTGTCACAGTTGTATAAAGACCACAGTGGCAAAAACATTAAGCAAATAAAGTGATAGGAAGGAATAGAATAGCAAGAATATCTGAAACAAAATACAGCTCTGGGTCTTGTCTAATGCTCCATATATTATAAAAAAAACCAAAAACATACTAAAATGGCTTATTAGAAACCAATAATTAGTTCTAACTTTGGAAGAGTCATTGCTCAAATTAGGCTTACAGATTAAAACGTAGAACTACTTTACATACTCTTCTGCTGTAAGAACTCACCCTAATAACTAGCCTAGATGACTTCTATGCCCATTCAGACCAGGGTACTGCTCATACTTTAAGTATATGCATATAAGAGGACAATCTCATCCACTCAAGTTATTCTCAGCTCTTCCTGCTCCATTTGGCTCCCTGTTTCAAAGGCACACATGAAAAGCAAGAAGAGCAGCGTTAGTCCATGCTGTGGGCCTGGGGCCCAGCACCAACTGCTCTCATTTACACATGAGCAGCAAGAGAGCCTGCTCATCCCTCTCAAAGGATTTCCCGCCCCTTTAAATTGCACAACTGACTGTGTAGCCTAACGAAGCTAAACGGCCCAGATGAGTGCCTGCAGAGAGCCCAAACGGGGGAAGCAAGGCTGCTGCCAGGCTTCTCCAGAGCCACGGAAGCAGGACGGCGGCCCCGAGACTCGGTGAGTTGCTGTGCTACACCAAGACAGCAGCAGCTGTAAGATATTTTACTGAGGCTCTAGCAGCGCTCCCGACAGCGCTGTAGCCAGCCCCTCCCGCCGCC